CCCAGCACATTGGGAGACCGAGGTGAGAGGATTGCTTAAGCCTGTGGGTTCGAGACCAGCCTGGGCAACTTGGCGAGACCTCATCTCTACAATAAATCAAAAAATTAGCCGGGCATGGTGGCGTGTGCCTGTAGTTTCAGCTACTTGGAAGACTGAGGCAGAAGGATCGCCTGAGCCTAGCAGGTCAAGGCTGCAGTGGCCAGGAGCGTGCCACTGCCCTCCAGCCTGGGTGACAGGGTGAGACTCCAACTCAAAAACCCAATCAGACAGTGACAATGATAACTTAAATAATTATCAATTTGTACATTAAACCTCAATCTAATAGAGAGATTGAGGAGGAACTGAATACAACAGGATAGATTTGGCTCCATGAGTCTCACCTTAACTTCCCCAGAATTGAGAACATGAAAGGTGAACAACTCTATTGGGGACCTCCTTGGACTGGCAATTTGGTTGCCATTCACAAAGAAATCTTGAATATATATAGAATAATAAAGGTCCATAACAAACTAAATCAATTTGATCAAAAAGAACAAAGAAGATTGCTTTGCTAGATTCTAAGATATGCTACAGAGTTAAAGTAATAAAAACAATCTTGTACAAGTACAAGTAAATGATCAATAGAATATGACAAAGCTGCAACTTGGACCTAAATATGTTTGGGAACTTCATATATAATACAGGTGATGTTATAAGGCAAAGCTTTGAGATAGAACGGGCAAGTTTAATACAACAGTATCGTGAACACTGGCTCACTACTGTTTATTTTCTTCATTTTCTCCTTGATATGTCGCCCAGGCTGGTCTTGAACTCCTGGCCTCAAGTGAACATCCCCCTTAACCTCCAAAAGTGTGTGAGCCACTGCACCAAGACCAAAGTCATTTGTAATTCCTCTCTTTACCTTGTATTCCACATCTAATTTGTCAATGGATCCTGTTTCTACTTCCACCCTTGCCCATTCCTCCTAAGGTATATTCTACAAACAGTATCTGGTTTCAGCCTTTTAAAACAAGCCAGATTGCATCAGTCTTCTGTTCAACACACTCAAGTTGCCTGCGATCTCAGAGCAAAAGGCAGATTCTCTACATTTCTAGTTCTCTGCTGTGGTAGGCAGAATAATGCACCCCCCAAAAGTTATCTACATCCTAATCCCCAGACGTTGTGAATATGTTATGTTGTTACATGGCAAGGGGAAATTATGGCTGCTAATTAGTGACTCTTAGGTGGGAAAATTCTCCTACATTAATCTTCTTCCCATTAGTGCCACATTGGGTGGTACCAATGTAATCACAGGTCTTTATAAGTAAAAGAGGGAGACAGGGATGTCAATGTTAGCATGATGTGATGTGAGAACTCGACTGGCCACTGTTGGTTTTCAAAATAGGCTGAGATCACAAACCAAGGAATGCTGGGCCATCTGCAGAAGCTGGAAAGGTAAGAAAATGGATTCTTCCCTAGAGCTTCCAGAAGGAATGCAGCCTTGCCAATATCTTGATTTTAGGCCAGGGAAACCCATTTTGGACTTGTAGCCTCCAAACTATGATAAAAATTTTATGTGGCTTAAAGCCACCAAATCTGTGGTAAATTGTTATAACAGCATTAAGAAACTATTATGCTGTTGATGGAAATATGCCACACTCTGTAAAATACTTTAAGATGGCTTATTCTTGAGCCAAACTTGAGAACTTAAATCCAGGTACACACGATGGCTCAAGCCTATAATCCCAGCACTTTGGGAGGCCAAGGTGAGGGGGCTGCCTGAGCCCACGGGTTCGAGAACAGCCTGGGCAATTTGGTGAGACCTCATCTCTACAGTAAATAAAAAAAAACTAGCCGGATGTGGTAGCACACGCCTGTAGTTCTGGCTACTTGGAAGGCTGAGGCAGAAGGATTACCTGAGCCCAGCAGGTCAACACTGGGGTGGCGGTGAGCGTGCGTGCCACTGCACTCCAGCCTGGGCGATGAGTGAGACTCCAACTCAAAAAAAAAAAAAAAAGCAAACAAAAACACACGAAATGATGGTTTTTAGATACTAGGTAACTGTACAACAGGCAGTACACGAGGCCCTTTGAGAAAGAAAAGAAATAAGGTGAACCCTATGAATGCACATTGCCTGGAATTTTCAGGCCTCAGCATAAGGAGGAAACGATCAAATTTTAAAAAGAAACAGAGTGCTGTGCATGGTAACTCATGTCTGTAACCCCAGTGCTTTGGGAGGCCAAGGTGAGAGGATCACTTGAGGCTAGGAGTCTGAGACCACCCTGTGCAACACAGTGAAACCTTGTCTCTATCAAAAAAATTTTAAAAATTAGTCAGGGATGGTGGTGTATGCTTTTAGTCCTAGCTACTTTGGAAGCTGAGGTAGGAGGATCGTTTGAGATCAGGAGTTTGAGGTTATAGTAAGCTATGATCATGCCACAGCACTGTAGCCTTGCTGACAGAGACCCTATCTCTAAAAATAATAATAATAAAAAACGAAAACCCAGACTTTAGAAGTGTCTGTTACAAGAGACAGCGCAGTGGTACTCTTAAAAGGTTTAGTTGGGACAGAGTGGGGCACTTAACACTCCTTGGGTTTCCATAGAGGGAAGGACATTTTTACTTGATAGGAAAAGAAAGGAAAATCTTTATGTCCTCTTTTGGACTTAAAATGATTGTTTCCCTGTATTCTTTCCAAAGAATCTAGGTGGCAAACATAAAAGCTTAAACTTTTCTTATTCTTTCCCTAAAGGCAGTACTATCCTACTTCACATATTAATTTACTCCCCACAGCTCACCAAGTCTTCAATTCCAATTGATAGTTTTAAAGTTAGTACATACTTTCATATTTGTTTTCAATAATGCTAGATAATGTATAGTATTAAAAATAATCTTAGTATCTGAAGAAGAAATGAGATTATACATTATTCCCTCCAATATAACCTTTCAGGATGGCCTTTGTTATGTATTTTATCAAATAGGAATAATTATATTTCAGAGGAAATGTGCTCCTTGGGTCCTCTAACCTCTTTATTTAAAACACAGGATCAAGTTAGGCATGGTGACTCATGCCTGTAATCCCAGCACTTTGGAAGGCTGAGGTGAAAGGATTGCCTGAGCACGGCAGGTCAAGGCTGCGGTGGCTGTGAGCATGCCACTGCACTTCAGCCTGGGTGACAGAGTGAGACTCCAACTCAAAAAAAAAAAAAAAAAAAAGGCAAAGATAAAAATAAAATAGCAGGGACACTTTTTTTCTTTTTTACCATCTAGTTATACTTACAAAGTATATAGTACCTGAAAATAAACGCTATAAAATACGAGATTTTGTAATAACACAAACAGTAATGAAAAAAATCAGAAGAGAGATTGGGAAAAACAAGGCACTTATATTAAAAGTATTTTATGAAGACATCTGTTCTAAAATAAAGTTGTTTGTTCCAGTCAATGAACAGGAACAAAAAAAAAAAATGAGTACTCACCTGGCAAAACAGGAATCGTTAGTCTCAAATGTGAGCTTACTTTTGAAATGTACAGGCTTATACTATATTAGGATCATCAGATAACTGCTGTAAAAACCTAGTGTCTACAGCATCTGTAGGAAAAGGAGATAATGTCACCATTATCATTCAGAAGCTCTTGTTATTTAAGAAGAGACAGGTTAGATATTAAGAAATAGTTAAGAAGACTTTTTTTTAGGCTGGTTTCCAAAAAATTGGTAGAATAATGCGATGCTCATTCTTTTTCCACTAAAAACTCATTTCTCCACTTTATTTTTATTTTTTTGACTTGGAGTCTCACTCTGTCACCCAGGCTGGAGTGCAGGGGCACGCTCACGGTCGCCGCAGCCTCGACCTGCTGGGCTCAGGGCATCTTTCCACCTCAGCCTTCCAAGTAGCTGGAACTACAGGCGCGCGCTACCACGCCCGGCTGATTTTTTGATTTATTGTAGAGATGAGGTCTGGTCAAGTTGTCCAGGCGGGTCTCGAACCCGCGGGCTCAGGCAATCCACTCCCCTCAGCCTCCCCCAAGCCCGGCTGGATTGAAGGTTTCTAAATGAGAGAAGACAAGTTTAAATGGCACAAAACAGGAAAGCAATCGATACTATATTAACTATCGAGTGAGGCTGTATACCCTTTCCTTCTTTGTTAAGCATTCCCAGTTTTTCTGGAAAACTGGAGACCTGGAGAAGGAATACCGGTCAGGACTTTCACTGCTAGTTCTGCGACTTCCAGATTCAACCCAGATTGTGCAGAGCGGCCCCAAGCTGCCCACGCTCACCGAGACAGGCTCCCTTTCCGGAGGCTGCGGCAGGAGACCCGGTAGTCTCCCTCAACAACAAGCTCCTGTCTGTGGCGGTAGCTCCGCCCAAGACGTGGATCCAGGAGGATGCCCTAGCCCTGGGAAAAGTGGTGCAAAAACACTGCCGCGAAACTGCAGGCGATCGGGAGCAGAAGGAAGAGGTGCACGGAGAGAGCACACTGCGCATGCGCGTTCCACGCATGCGCAGCAGCCTGGGGCAAGGCAGTAAGAAATCGTGGAAAAGGGGGCTCGCAGCTGGTTACTAGGAGACGGGACGCTCGAGAGGGCGTCTAAGAGCTGCGTGGGCGTGCGCCTGCGCGGCGCGGATGGGCCAGGACGAGGCCTCCCCTAGGCGCCCCGTAAGGCCGGCAGGCGGACGTATACGGCGCTACGTACGTGGGTGCGCGCGCACGGCTTGTAGTCCCTGCGGGAGGGAAGGGCGAGCCAGGTACGCGTGCGCACTGGGACTGTGGGCGCGCGGGACGGAAGCGGAGCCAAGGCGCCTGGAGGTGGAAGACGAGCCCCTTACAGGTACAGAGCGTGAGGGCGGGGCCGACGGCGCCGCCGCCGGCGCCAACCGCCTCCGCCCCCTTCCCGCGGGGTACCGCCTTCCTGAGACTCCGCCGGGGCGGGGCCGGGTCGATTTAGGGGCGGGGAGGGGGGGAAGGGGCGGAGGATGGAGGTGGGGTGGGACGTCTTTCCCCGGCGGAGGCCGGCAGCTGGGAGATGCAGCGATGAACTCCGGGGAGGATGGCGGGTCACGGAGCCCCCGGAGGGACCCGGAGACCCAGGTAGTAGCCGCGAAGACGCGCCGGCCTGGGGGAAGCCGCTCCCGGGCCGGGAGGTCTCCCAGAAGGCGGCTGCAGGAGGGCGGGTGTGGGGCTGCGGCTGGCTGGAGGGGGGCGTTCGTCGCTGGGACCGCCGTGCGGGGCTGTAGCCGGCAGAGTTGCGAGCCGGGAAGCCCCCGGGAGCAAACTGGGCCTTTGTTGTGGTTTCTTGGGAGTTCAGGGCTGAGCCCAGTTCCTAAGGCGACCGCTTCGCTTCCTGCCGCAGCTCCCAGCTTGGTTGTTGGGGGGACTGTTCTGTTTGGAAACGCTCTGGAGTGGAGATGAGTTTGGAAGCCAGAGACTGGGGAGTTCATCCCCACTCTTGCTCCCAATCTCTCACTTCTGAGCCTTTTTATAGACTCTGGGTGGCGAAGGGCCCAGATAACATAGGTATTTGCATGAAAATGTCATATAATTTAAGTAGCAATTGCACCCAGGAAAGGCAAGATAAACTGACTTTTATTTGAAAAAAGATTTGAGACTTAAATTGGATAACTATGTGATCATGAACCTGGTCCCTAAAAACGGATATGAATACTTGTTTTCCCCCCAGTAAAGTCAAGGTTTGCAGCTTCAGGGTAGTTTGTATAAATGACTGTGTCGCAGCGTTTTATTTTTTCAATTCGAGGCCCTGATATCCCAGGAAATTTCGTGATTTTAAGTGTTCTCTACTGGTTTTCAGCATTTGTAGTTACACTTTGTTTACCTGTAAGGAAATATAATAACAATCCGTTTTGTGAGTAGAATAAAATAGGTTAGTTATAAATAATACATAAAGAGTGTGTCACATTCAAATCTGCCTCCAGGATAAAACGGATTTTTGTTAGTATTTTATTGAACCAAACCTTAATTGGTGGGAAATAACTTGGAAGGTACACTGGTAAAATATTTATTTTAAACCCTAAGCTTTGACTTTTCTTAATGGCAGCTTCCAAAATATTTATCATTTTGTTTACCTTCTGAAGAGAAATAGTGCTTGTAGCCCAGAATATAATCAGGAATAGAGATTCTCTGGGCTCTCTTTATGTCTTCTTTTTCATTTGCTTAGACCAGTTTAGGATGACTTGGTTTTAGAACCCTCTATATACTGAGTCAGTTAGAGCAGATGTTATCATTCCCTTTTCAGATCACATGCCTCTTTCTCTCTCCAGAGATAGCCTCTATGCCATCTTCTAAAATAGCCACTGCCTTGTTGTTCCTTATTGATAAAAAAGCAGACTCTAAAATATTTAGAGATTTATTTTGAACTAAATATAAATTACCAAGGTTCATGACGCAGTCCCAAGAGGTCCTGAGATCATGTGCCCAAGGTGGTTGAATTACAGCTTGGTTTTATACATTTTTACACAGGCAAAACATAACTCAATACATGCGAGGTTTATATTATTTGGGGCCAGAGGTGGGACATCCCCAGTGTGGGCTTACAGCTGTTAGGCTGCTTCAAAGATTTTCTGATGGGCAATTGGTAGAAAGATAAGCTTTGTTTGTTGGAAATCAGTAAAAGAAATGCTTGAGTTAAGATGTAGGGAGGGGGTTGTGGAGGCCAACGCTCTAGTTAATGTAGATGAAACCTGTAAGTAGCAGGTTTTAGAGATAATAGATGGTAAATGTCTTAAAAGGTGTCCAGCTCCTCCTAGGAAAGGAGATTCTAAACAGATGCAGATTTCCTCAAGAGGCTGCTTTGCAGGGTCACTTCAAAATATGTCAAAGGTACATATTTTGAGGTAAAGTATTTTCAGGGTCTGCTTCTCTCTTGTGATATTATACCAGAGTCAAGTTGGAATTTGGTATCTGTTGCCACAGAGTCTGTCTTGCCAGTCTTATGGTCTCTGTTTTAATGTTAATGCTGGCCACTTGTGCTTAAAGCTCCACAAGGGATGAGGTCTAATCAGGCATGGCTAACCTCCTTTCCCATCATGGGCTGGAATGGTTTTTCAGGTTTCCCTGGTCCAGAGCAGGTCCGTCAATGTCTTGGGGGCTTAAAATTCTATTTTTGGTTTATGTCTTTACAGTTTCACTATCTTTGTATGTGAGCATGCACATTATAGTTTGGCTTTTTTTCTTTTTGGGGGGCGGTCTCTCTGTCTCCCCAGAGAGTGAAACTATCATGGCTCACTATAGCCTCAACCTCCTGGGCTCAGGTGAGCTTTCCACCCTGGCCTCCTGAGTAGGTGGGACTACAGGCACGTGACACCACACCTGGCTATTTGCTTTTTGTAGGATCAGGGTCTTGCTATGTTGCTTTGGCTGGTCTTGAACTCCGGGGCTCAAACAATCTTACTGCCTCTGCCTCCCAAAGTGCTGGAATTTCAGGTGTGAGCCACTGGCCCACATCTTGCTTGTTTGTTCAACTTGTGTTTTTAAGATTTATTCTTATTGTTGCTTGTAGCATTTACTTTGCTGATTGTTTTAGTTCCATTGTTTAAGAATGTACCACAATATATCTACTCTACTCTCGAGAACATTAAAGTTGTTACAGTTTTTAGCACTTATGAACAGCACATCTATGAGCATTTTTATACAGATATTGCAGAATATTCTTTTTAAGTAAGCTAATTAGTAAGGCAGTTCTTTTGTCTTAGTTTTGAGTTATAACATTAGTCTCTTATATTATTATTTTAGTGTTAGAAAACAACTGTTTAATCCCTTCTTATGTTTCTGAGAGGTCTAGATATAAACACTACTTCTAAGGCCATTGTTTTATACTTGTTTTTAGAGACAAGTTATTTATTTACATTATTGTCTGAATTGCAGAAAACAGAGGTTTGGATTGGAAGAGAGATTTGAATGGAACGACTGAAGAGATTTTTGCAGGGTTTTTTTTTTTTTTTAAGAAAGGTTAAACGGTAGCTTAACTATTTTGTTTGAAGTGAATTTCCAGAATATTTATTCAATTATTTTTACTGTGCATATAAAATCTCTCAAAATTTTCATAAAATTTTCCACATCCTTTTGTTAGTGAGGCTTTTCCCTTCTACTTCAAAGTGTCAATAAGTCTCATTTTTGGTGAGAGAGAGATAATATATTTGAGTTGGGGGTCTCACTCTTTGGCCCAGATGGAGCACATTGGCGTGATCAGGGCTCCCTTCAGCCTCAGTCTCCTGGGCTGAAAGGATCCACGCTCCTCAGCTTCCCAAGGAGCTGGAACTACAGGTATGTGCCACCATGCCTGGCTAATTTTTTGATTTTTTTTTTTTTGTAGAGACCAGGTCTCACTATGTTGCTCAGGTTGGTCCTGAGCTCAAGCAATCCTCCTGCCTCAGCCTCCTAAAGTGCTATTACAGGTGTGAACCACTGTGCCCTGCCTACGGAGATTGTTTTTTAAAAAAGAAAATGAAAACTCAATCCAAGTTGAGGCTTTGTGAAACCAGATTTTAGAATTCCATAGAAAGTACTCCAGTATTTACCTTTGTTCTATCAAATTATTCAATAGTAATTTGTTGAGTACATCAACATGTCCATCATATTTTGCTCAACACTGATGGTACTTTTTAGCATATGACCTTATCTCCTATTTACTGAAAAATTAAAATTCCACCAGACCAAAACTTACTCAGGATTTTTACCTCACCTTATCAAATCTTCACACATCCTTGCTCTTCTCTTTATTGTCTCTGGGGAGTCTCAGTGGGCAATACACACTCTTTATCTGGGCTTCCTCTTGCTACCTAAGCTGTTTTTCTCCATCCATTAACATTAACCACGTTTTAGGATTCTCCATTGTTTCTATACCATAGGGCTTCTTCACCTGGAGCCCAGGGACCTTCCAGAGTCTTAAATCCCCTGAAATTGTTTGTAAGGGTGTATTTGCATTTTTCTGAGAAAGGACCCAGGGCTTTCATTTGATAATTAAAGGGGTCCTTGATACAAAGAGAATTAAGAAACAAGTTTTTCTTCTCTTAGCATGGCTCTTCCGCAGCCTCATTCTTCCTCCACTTTTCTTTCGACTTCTCTTTTTCTCACAATCATTTTTTCTAAAAGAAGTTTATATTTTCCATTTATTTTTTCTGTACTGCTCATTAGTCCTCTTCAGACTTGCTTCCACCCTACCATTGAAACTGCTTTCTCGAATCATCAAAATTCATTATTTTGAAAATGTTTTGAGTCCCAGCTTTGTACTGGGTACTTTTAAGGCATCAGAGATATAATGGTGACCAAACAAAAGCCTAAATCTCTTAGACTGTGTTTTTTTTTGTAGGGGAAGACAGAAAATAAACAAGTGTGAGCAAATTAATGATATAATTTCAAGTAGTGATGAAGTGCAAATAGCTTAATGGGAGAATGACTGGGACAGAAGCTACTTTATTTATTTTGAGTCAGAGGTCTCACCCTTTCACCCAGGCTGGAGTAAAGTGGCCCGATCACGGCTCCCCACTACCTTGCCCTACTGGGTTCAGGTGATCCTTCCACCGCAGCCTCCAGAGTTGCTGGGATTACAGGCATGTATGTATCCTATTCGGCTAATTTTTAAATTTTTTTTTCTGGTGATGACGTCTTGCTGTATTTTGAAAGCTAGTCTCGAGCTTCTGGGTTCAAACAGTCCTCCTGCCTTGGGCTTCCAAAGTGCTGGAATTACAGGTATGAGCCATCATGCCTGGCCTGGATACTTTAAATAAGAAGCAAAAGTGTGTGTGGGGGGGAGGGGATGGGGGGGAAGCAAGGGCAGAAGAGTTGAAGTGAAATGAGATTGGCATGTATCTTAGTCCATTTGGGCTGCTCTGATGAAATACCATGTATCGGGTAGCTTACGAACAAGAAAAAATTAATTCTCACATTTCTGGATGCTGGAAAGTCCAAAATCAAGTGGCCAGCAGATTCAGTGTCTGGTGACAACCTGTTTCACGGTTCATTAATCGTGCCTTTATACTGTGTTCTTACATGTTGGGAGGGATAGGGTGCTCTCTGGGGCTTCTTTTATAAGGGCAGTTAATTATGACCTAATCACCTCCCAAAGGCTACACCTCTTAATATGTTCACTTAGGGGTATTAGAATTTCAACATGAATCTTGGGGACAAGGGACATACATATCAGACCAGAGCAGCACATTAAAGGAACAGAAAGAAAACCCACACAACTGGTAGGTGAACAGAGAGGAGAATATAGGGGCCAAATCATGTAGGACCTTAAAGAGTTTGGATTTTATTTTAATTGCAATGGGAAGTCAGTAGAGTATTTTTGAGCAAGATATCATTATTTTGAAGTAATTGACTTGACTTCAGTGTGGAGACTAGGTTGTAGGGAGCAATAGTAGAAGCAGAAAGGTCAGTAGGAAACTGTTGCAGGATTCTAGGTGGAGGATGATGGTGATATGCATCAAGGAGGTAGAAATAAAAATATAGAGAAGTGAATGGATTTAGGATATATTTTGGAGGTTTGCTAATGGATTAGATGGGAGTTAGGGAAAGAGAAAAATCAAAGACAACTCCTTAGTTTTTTACCTTGGGCGCCTGCCTGTGTGAATGATGGTGCCGTTTGACAAGGAAGAGACGGGGAAGGAACATAGTGGAGACAGGATTGAGATTGGGAAGCAGGTGGGGGAATTAAGAGATCTGTTTTAAACATGTTAAAGTTGCCTTGGCTGTGGACGTCCAATAAAAGCAACATAATGTGTTAGGGGCTCCAATAGAGGTATGTGTATCTTTTGGAATGGAAAGTAGATCTTAAGTCTTTTGGGGGAATTGTGGAAGTGAGAGATGTCAAAATACATGGTTTTAACCATTCTGCTGTGAGACTTCCCAATTAAGGATGAAAGTACATTTGCTTGCATTCTCTGAGATTTGTATAGGAACACAAGTTCCATTCTAAAATATATTAGCCATCACAAGAATGAAGATATTCAGATAGCCTGAGATGAGGAAACTGGCAGGCCAGGTACGTGATTTCAGATATACCAAACTCTTCTCTCTTCCCTAGGGTTAATGTCTCCAAAGCTAAACAAGAGTTTAGTGGAGGGAAGGTAGCAATTCCATGATTGCTCATGATTGTTGGGTAGACTATGGTTTCTTCTTACTTTTAATTCCTTGGCTGGTCTGATTGGTAATTTTGCAGAATCCACACTTGACTGTTGAGTTTACCAAAGAAGAAGGAAAGTTTAATTTTGTCTGCTTCGTTATCAACCTCAACAAGTTTTTAACAACATTTTTTATTATTGCATAAGAGAACTCTGGGCAAGTTGGTGGGGATACAGAGGTTGGACATGGCTTGTTCTTGACATTCTAATAAATATATGAGGAAGACGTATCCAGAAAAAATAAGTACCTATATAAATTATTCTAATTTATATATATGGAAGTCTTAATGAAGAAGTGGTCATTAGGCAATGGAGAAGATAGAGAAAACCTCCTGGAGAATATGGAATTCAAGCTAAGTTTTAGACATGTCCATTTAAATGGAGAAAAGATGTGGGCAAAGCTCATAAGCAGACGATTAAATGCTTCTGCACATGTTAAGAATGTGTAGTGGAATAGTTTGTTTTTCATAGAGCGACTCTTGGAGTTGTCAAGTAGGAGATAAGTAGAAGTGGGAAAGGACCAAATTATGAAGAACTTTGAATATTGGACAGGTTTAGACTTTAATTAAATAAATCTTTGTTATACATAGTATAGTCTTTGTTCTATCCAAATAGGGATTGCCAAGGTGCTTTTTAGAAATGTGGAATCTCAGGCCTTGCACGAATAAGAATCTGCCTTTAAACAAGATTCACAGGTGATTCAGGTGTTCAATAAAATTTAAAAAGTATTGCTATAGTGAGTTTTTTTTTTTTTTTTTGCCATACTAAATCAAATGTTTATAACTAGGAACACGTTTTTCAATAGAAACTATTTAAGAAATGGTAGCTAGGATTTTGATATATCCCACAAAGGTTTATATGATTCGTAATTTGAAATACTCTGTGAAGTCTAATGCTGAGGTTCCAGGTGGTACTGTAACCATTAGAATGAAAAACAGAAATGCAGGTTTGTATCTTGTTCAGGTCAAGGAGAAAAGGGAAATAAATCTGATAGCCTGCTTCAGTGCTAGGCTGCACAGGGTGTAACACAGATCACTAACTATGCAACTCCTAGTCCTATTGATGCCTGGCCATTGATCAGTAGCTACTGGATTTGCTCTGACCCATATTTTTGTAGAATCATGATTACCAAGGGATTAGGATAGGGCATGTCTTAAAAAGCATGTTTGCTGGGCATGGTAGCTCACACCTGTAATTCCAGCACTTTAGGAGGTGGAGGTGAGAGGATTGCCTGAGCACGAGGGTTTGAGACCAGCCTGGGCATATTGGCAAGACCTCATCTCTACGATAAGTCAAAAACATTAGCTTGGCATGGTGGTGCTACCTGTAGTTTCAGCTAGTTAGAAGGCTGAGGTGGAAGGATTGCCTGAGCCCAGCAGTCAAGGCTGTGGTGGCTGTGAGTGTGCCACTGCACTCTATCTTGGGCGACAGAGTGAAACTCCAACTTGAAAAGCATGTTCAATATCAGCGTTTTATATATATATTTTTATTTTATATATGTATTTTACATATTTTTATTTATATTTTTATGTATTTTATATGTTGTTATATGTGTTTTTATTTTTATTTATATGTTTTTATTTTATTTTGTTTTTTTGAGTTGGAGTCTTACTTTGTCTCCGAGGCTAAAGTGCAGTGGCATGATCATGGCTTACTATAGCCTTGACCTCCTGGGCTCAGGTATTCCTTCTGTCTCAGCCTCCTGAGTAGCTAGGACTATAGGCATGCACCACAAAACCTGGCTAATTTTTTTTTTTTTGAGTTGGAGTCTCACTCTGTCACCCAGACTGGAGTGCAGTGGCCACTCCTGGCCACCGCAACCTCGACCTGCTGGATTCCAGCGATCCTTCCACCTCAGCCTTCCAAGTAGTTGGAACTGCAGGCACGCGCTACCACGCCCAGCTAATTTTTTGATTTATTGTAGAGATGAGGTCTCGCCAAGTTGCCCTGGCGGGTCTCAAACCCGCGGGCTCAGGCATTCCACTCACCTCAGCCTCCCAAAGCACAGGATTACAGGCTGAGCCACCGAGCCCCGCTTGCTAATTTTTTTATTTTTATTTTTTAGACACGAGTTCTCTCTATGTTGCCCAAGCTGGTCTTCAACTCCTGGGCTGAAGTGATCCTTCTGTCTTGGCCTCCCAAAGTTCTGGGACTACAGGCGTAAGCTACTGTCCCTGGCTTATATTATAGTTTTATATTGAAAAACACACATAAAAAGTTTTATAACAAAATTAAAAAAAATAAAACTTGATAAAATTCTTAGTAGGAAAGGTTAAAAACAATATTAAGTCATATCTAAGAATATTAGTAACTTTCAAAATTTGTTGATTTTTTTGTGAGAAGCTGTTTTAAATAGAATATTTTTGTATTTTTCCCATTTTCTCTACTAGGTTACCACCAAAGAACATGATTTTGGTTTAGGGGCTCCAGTTTCTGAAGCTGAAAAATACCAGAATACTCTCCAGCTGGAACAAGAAGTGAAAAATCAAGGACAATTCATCTCTTCATTGAAATTACAGGTTACCTTACCTTTAGTTACAACATATTTTCCTGAATTAGTGTGGGATGGGAGCCTATTTTAAAACAAGAAGATGTAGAATAAATATTTACTAATCAGAGCTTGTTTCAATCTTATGGGTCTAAAATAATTCAGTGTTTATCTTAACCGTTTTGATAAACATAGATTCAGAGTCTTTGAGTGCAAACTATGTGCCAAGTATTGTGTCAGGTTTTTTCAAGTACATAATCTTAATCATACCAAACTTTGTGAAAAAGTGTTGTTGTTTTCATTGACAGATATGGAAGCTCAAGTTCTAAGAAAGAGGTTAAATGATAATGACACTTGACTAATGAGTGACAGAGCTAGGATTTTTCTGAATTCCCAAGTTAGCTGGGATTTGAATCCAGTTCTCTGAATTCCAAGTTCAGTATTGTTCTTTTTCTTTTGGTGCTTGACATGTAGTATAGCTATTAATAAAGACTATTAAGATAAGCTGGGCACAGTAGCATGATCCTGTAAAGCTACTTGGAAGGTCTGGGAAACATAGTAGACCCTGCCTCTCTAGGAAGATGGAATAGTAGGCTTATTTTTTCCTGTTCCTCTTGCTAAGTGCAGCTAAAAACTCTGAACGTTATATGTAAAATAAACATAAGAAGACTTTGAAAGATGGAGAGAAGAAGAAACACTGGATAGGGATTTCAAGATTCAAAGAGCAACATGTTAGTTCCTGGATTTCTTTTCGTTCCATATATCCCAGACAGGATACTGGAAAAACTGGCAACTGAAAACAACAATGAGCACATACAAAAAATATACCTGAGAAAAGCTATCCCTCCCTAGCCAGAGGAATAGGAGAGGAGCATCCTAACAAGGCAGAAAACATTTAAATAGTAACTTCCCACTCCAAACAGATACCACAGAAAAGCTACATCCCCGTTCCTGCCAGCACAGACCAAGACTTCCACACTTGTGAGGCTGTAATAAGGAGCCCCAGTTATACCTCACCTTCTGTTCCCCCCTGCCACCTCCTGCCATGATGATATCAAAGAAGGCTAAGTGGGGAACCAGGACTTTTATCCTCACCAGAGGATAAGGAGACTCCAGACCCATGATATCAGTAGAGAGACCACATACAAAACCAGGACATCTACTTCTACCCTATAGTAAAAGGCACACCTTCTTCTTGCTGGTGTCAGAGAAGACCTAGTTCAGAGTCAGGACTTTTACCACCTTTCAGCAGTAATGAGGCTGTTGCACATGGTGTCAGTGATGGACACATGGGGAACAGTAGTGAGGTGTTTCCGTTCTTCCACTGTGGTGGTAACAGCAGAGGTCTAAGGGGAGGCTGAATTCCCATACCTGCTTAGCAGCTAGGAGCCCTGCCCTCCCTGGACTTGTTCCCCCTCACCCCACCCCCACTTAGCAGCAATAAACAGTGTCATAGGAAGCCTACTAAAACATATGATTTAGAGTCTTACAATACTAAGTCTCAATTTAAAAAAGGCTATTGTCCCAAGAATCAGGAAGATCTGAGAAAAAACAATCAGGAAAGTGAAACAGATGTTACAATGATCTGGAAAAGGATTTAAAACAGTCATAAATGCTTCATCAGGTAATTATGGCAGGTCGATTTCTTGAAACAAGTGAAAAAAATTGAAAGTCTCAGAAAAAAACAAAAGATATAAAGAACTATTTGGAAATTTTAGAACTAAAAAGTAAAGTAAGAGATCCATGTAAAAATCTGCACATGAATGTGTATAGCAGCTTTATTGTAGTTACCAGAACTTGGAAGCAATCAAGATGTCTTTCTATAGGTGAATGGGTAAACAAACTGGTACATCCATGTAATGGAATGATACTCAGTGATAAAAAGAAATGAACTATCAAGGCTCAGAAAGCATAGAAGAAGTAAGAAAGGCCATCATTAATAAAACAAACAACAACATATTGGCGAGGATGCGGAGAAAAAGGAGCGCTTCTACACTGCTGGTAGGAATGCAAACTAGTGCAACCTCTTTGGAAGACTGTGGTGATTTCTGAAAGAACTAGAAATTGACCTTCCATATGACCCAGCAATCCCCCATTGGGAATATACCCAGAGGAACTCAAGTCATTCTACCAAAAAGATACTTGCACACGCATGTTTGTTACAACTGTGTTCACAATAGCAAACACATGGAACCAATCATGCTGCCCATTGAAACTGGACTGGATTAAAAAAATGTGGTACATAGACACAATGGATTATTATGCAGCCATAAAGAAGGACAAACATATAAACTTCACAGCAACTTGGATGGATTTAGAGTCTATCATACTCAGTGATCTATCACAGAAACAAAGAACAGAGTCCATATGTTCTCACTCATAAGCGGACCTTGAACAATTATCATAATACTATAAGAAAGGGATTGGCAGTAGTGGGAAACTGCCAGGAGAGGGGTCATGGGATTGGCAGTTGAGGGAAACTGCCAGGGGAGGGAGGGGCACACCTCATCAACAAGGGTACTTGCATAATGAACATTTGTATACCCAACCCCGAATTGTACCCCACATCTTTAAAATAACAAAAAAAACAAAGGCATCAATAACCCTATTGGTAATGGTAAATGGGACACTGGTTGTTAAAAAAAAAAAAAGCATGTCAGCTTATTGTTAGGTGAAAACAAGCCTGAATGATTCCAACATGTGAAAATCTGGAGAAGACAAAGCTATAGAGACCATAAAAAGTGCAGTGGTTGCCAGGGATTAGCAGCAGAGGCATGAGTAGGTGGTACACATTGAAGCTATTCTGTATGTTATAGTAATGTCATTCTCTATCTGTTAATGTTAAAATCCACAGAATGTATTGTATCAAGAATGAAACCCTAATGTAAACTATGGACCTTAGTTAATAATCTTATCAATATTGTTTCATCAATTGTAACAAATGTGTCACAGCAATATAAGATGTAAATAACAGAACCCTTGAGGGCATGAGAGGGCATATATGAGAACTCTTTGTACTTCCTAATCAATTTTCCTGTAAACCTAAAACTACTTTAAAAATAGTCTATTAAACAATACATGGGAGAAAATATTTTTGAATCATATATCTGATAAAGGCTTAATATCCAGAATTTAGAATGAATTCCTACAACTAAACCTTGTCTCCAAATGAAAAACAATTCAATTAAAAAATAGACAAAAGACTTGAATAGAGATTTCTCCAAAGAAGATACACAAATGACCACTAAACACATGAAAAGATGCCCAACATCACTAACTTCTAAGGTAATGCAAATAAAAACCACAATGAGATACTGCTTCACATCCATTAGATTGACTATTACAAATATAATGGAAAATAACAAGTATTGGTGAGAATGTGAAGAAATTGGGACACTTGTGCATTGCTGTTGGGAATGTAAAATGGTACAGCCATGGTGGAAAACGGTTTGGTTATTCCTCAAAATGTTAAAGATAGACTAACAGATCCAGCTATTCTGCACCTAAGTATACCCTGAATGATTGAGAGTAGGGACTCCAATAGAGACTTATATGCAAATGTTTGTAGCGACACTATTCACGTTAGTCAAAAGGTGGAAACAGCCCACATGTCCATCAACAAATGAGTAAACAAAATGTTGTATGTACTTACAGTGGAGTATTCAGCTTGAAAAAGGAATGAAATTCTGACACATGCTACAACATTGATGAACCTTGAAAATATTATGCTAAGTAAAATGTCAGACACAAGAAGAAAAATTTTTGATTCCAGTTATACCTAGAATAGACAGAATTATTGTTTAATGCATACAGAGTTTTTTGTCGGAAGTATTATGAAAACGAATAGTGGTGATAGTTGCACAACATTGTAGATATACTTGATGTCACTGAAGTGCACACTTAAAAATGGTAAAATTTATGTATATTTTACCACAATAAAAAAAGTTTAAAAATACAGTAACTGAAATTAAGAACTGAATATTCTTAGCAGAATGAAGAAGAGAGATGAAAGAGAAGAGACAAATAGAAATTACCTAATCTGGCCAGGCACAATGTATGTAGTCTCAGCTACTCAGGAGGCAGGAGGATCACTTGAGCCCAGGAGTTCAAATTCAGCCTGGGCAACAATGGTGAGATATGTCTCTAAAATAATAAAAACAAAAATAACAAAACTAATGTGAATATCAGAGAGAAAATAGATAGAAGAAATGCAAATAGTGCCTCAGGAACAGGTAGAACTATAACAAAATATCTACCATTTGGGTCATCAGAGTACCAGAAAGTGAGCTGAGGGGGAGCTGAAAAAAATCTTGAAGTAATAGTGGCTGAAAATTCCCTAAATTTGTCACAAAGGCATAAAAACAGATAAAAGAAAATAAGTAAACACCTAACAGTTGGCATCCAAAGAAATACACACCAAAACTTCATAATCAGGCTTTTGAAAATAAAGCCAACAGGACAATAACAACAAACCCTGGAAACAGCAAGAGAGAAACCAGGCATACCTATAGGGGAACACCAATTCCAATGAGAGCAGATTTTTAAAATCTGAAGGCGGAGGTAAGAAGGAAGTGGCGCAACATTTTTCAAATTCTAGAAAAAGAACTGTCAATCCAGGATTCTGTATTCAGTGAAAGTATCCTTGAGGAATGAAGGGAAAAATCAAGATATTCTCAGGTGAGGGAAAACTAAGAATTTGTTGTCAGCAGAGCTACCCTAAAAGAATAACTAAAGGAATTTCTCTAACCAGAAAGGAAGTGAAAAGATGTAATCTTGGAACCAATAGGAAGGAAGAAAAACATGGGCAAATGCAATAGCATTTCTTTTTTGTTTTTAGTTTTCAAAATTATATTTGTTCATTGTGGTTTTCAATGTATATAGAGGAAATATCAGACAATTATTAATAGAGGAGAGTCAAGGGACATAAGGGGAGGTAAGGTTTTTATGCTTTGACTTGAACTGGAAAAATATAGGCTGTGATAAGTTATGTATATATAATGTAATGTTCTACTGAAGCTAGAACACCCACTA